TTGTGTTATTGTACACTTCTGTTAATACATGTGTTATTGTACACTTCTGTTAATACATTGTGTTATTGTACACTTCTGTTAATACATGTGTTATTGTACACTTCTGTTAATACATGTGTTATTGTACACTCCTGATAATACATGTGTTATTGTACACTCCTGATAATACATGTGTTATTGTACACTCCTGTTTATACATGTGTTATTGTACTCTCCTGATAATACATGTGTTATTGTACACTCCTGATAATACATGTGTTATTGTACACGTACGTACGTACATTACAACGAGAGCTAATACAATAGGTATATTAATAGGTATATACTATATTAGGTATTAGGTATATTAGGTATTAGGCTTAGATACGTATTGTTAGCTCCTGATATTATATACACTCTCCGTATGTACAGCGTTGTTGTTATCGTTGTTTTTGCGTGTTTACAACTCCCTAAAGCCTAGGACACACTGCGCGATTTTCAACGCTGGCCGCTTGCGATCGATAAATACGGTGCCGGGTCTGCGCGGTGTGTCCGGTCTCACGGCAGCGTATTTCGCTCGCGATCCCAGGAAAGATCCGGCCGGCTCGATCGCATGAAAAATCGCGTAGTGTGTCCAGTGAGTCGCGGTCGGTTTTCGAGTCGGCCGGCCGAGTCGCCCGATTCAAACATGTTTGATAATTATTTGAGCCGGCCGGCTGCAATCGCCTATAGTGTGCCCGCGGGTCTGCGATTGAGCCGGCCGATTGTACAATTCATCAGCCAATCAGCGTGCTGAAAATCCACAGAGTCGCCCGACTCAGTCGCGTAGTGTGTCCACAGAGTCGCCCGACTGAGCCGGCCGGCTCGATCGCATGAAAAATCGCGTAGTGTGTCCACAGAGTCGCCCGACTGAGCCGGCCGGCTCGATCGCATGACAAATCGCGTAGTGTGTGTTACCGCGGTCTCACCGTCTAACACCACAGGCACTTGGAGCGTTTCAATAAAATATAATGCTAAATAAATACGATATCGATTTACTACCAAAGTCTTAATATGTCTCTATATATATGTGTGTCAGTGTGCGGCTGCATGCGCGCGGTGTACATGTGTGTTGCAGAGGAGCATATGCAGTTTGCACGGCATTTACAGGAAATTGTCGGCAATAATAAATAGGCGAAAGAGAGTAGAGAAACATTAAGACTTTGGTAGTAAATAGATTACGTATATTTATTTAGCATTATATTTTATTGAAACGCTCCAAGTGCCTGTGGTGTAACACGCGTAGTCTGTTACAGCGTGTTGGCCTGCGACTGCCCGCCCCCGCCACACTAAGGCCAAAACAAAATATATGTGTGGAACCTTACCGTTACATGCCGAAAAAAATAGGGTAGGTAGGTAGGGAAAACATTTTATTTTCTTGAAATATTTTATTTACGAACCATGTCCGAAGGATGTGCGTTGTGCCTTTTGAAGCAAGAACTGACCAATTAATATTTATTTTTTTTAATTTTTTTTTTACTTTAAAAGAAAATTGACAATAAAGTGTTTATAGGGTCGCTGGGAAGAAATAGGGTCGGTCGGGAAACCGTAACCACACCTATATTTTGTTTTGGCCTAACTACAATTCACCTGATTTCCCCACAGACTACGGATTACCTATTATCTATTGCGATCGGAAACAACGAGAGTATCGAGTGAATCAGTCATATCAATGTTCCTTCAAAATGCCTATTAAAAGTTTTGCCTATCTTGCCTTTATATCAACAATATTTACGAATTTCCTATCTAGTTTTTCCTTAGTGACTAGGCCACAATTAAAAAAATATTTGTTTGCCATCACCCGACCCAGGCTGAAAAGTTTGGGTAGGTCGGTAGGCTTGTCATTTTTTTGAGGGTGGGTCTTTTTACAAATTCAGCATGGTGTCTACTAGCTCTAGTACTATAGCCCGCGTTCATTAACTGCCGCAGGTTATAATAACTGCCTCATAACTGCCACAGGTTATCATAACTGCCACAGGCAGTTAATGAACGCGGGCTATAGTACTAGAGCTCATAGGGTCTATGTCCCCCAGGGTACTGCCGGAACGTACCCTGGGTACGGTCCGTTATACCGGAACGTACCCTGGTCACTATTGTCTTACTAGGTGTCTACTAACCCGACCAGGCTGTGTGACTATAACGTCAATATACATGCGGGTATAATCAACGACTAACGTCAATATACGGGTATTCTAACCCTAGCAATACCGTTTCTTGGAGCTAGCTAGGTGTCTACATGATCGGGTGTGGATGTGTGGATATACCTTTTATGTTGAATGTTTGTTTTGCTTGGTACATATAATGTATTGCCTACAGATTTATATAATGTACAGTGATACAATTTGTATAAAAAAAAAGAATGGGAAAGATCAATAAAAATGTTTGAGTCGGCGCCTTTTTGGCGGG